AAGCTCTTGAATCATTTAGTTAAAGCCTATACCTGGATCTCTACTCTATGATCCAATACCTAAACATGCTTACTGTTGACTTCAGTTTCAGCATTGCTGTTGGAGAAACAGGTGGCCACTGTGATTGCATTAGAGGGAGGGGAGAGGGGAACAGTAGGGGATGCCATTTCAGGGCAGATCATGATGAATCTGGTGTATTATTGTGGAGACTTTAATATTTACTGAGATGAGATCCCAGGAGCGTTCTGAACAGAAGAGGGATATGATCCTGCAGGAGGTGAGGGTGAAAACAGGGAGATCAGCTAAGAGGCTCTTGCAAAATCCAAGCAAGACATGATGGCTACTTAGACCAGGGTGATAACACTGGAGGTAAGAAGTACTTGGATTCTAGATTGATTTTGAACCTAGAGAAAGAAAAGATTTATGGAAAACACTGGATGTGAGTTATGACTCCAAACTTTTGACCTTGTAGCCTGAAACCTTGATAAACTCACTTCTTAATTATTATAGCTTTTTTTTTTTTTTTTTTTCATATTTCTTGGGATTTTCTATGTAGACAATCATGCCATCTGTGGATAGAGACCATTTTATTCAATCTGGTTTTTTTTTGTTTTTGTTTTTTTTGTGGTACATGCCCCTAGCGGGAACTGAACCCGGGACTCTCTGGTCTGTAGGCCGACGCTCAACCGCTGAGCCAAACTGGCTGGGGCGTCAATCTGTATATTTTTTATTTCTTTTTCTTGTCTTATTACACTGGCTAGGAAATTCAATATAATGTTGAGCAAGTGGTCATAGTGAACATCCTTGCCTTCTTTCTGATCTTAGGGGGAAAGCTTTCAGTCTTTAACCATTAAGTGTAATGTTAGCTGTAGGTTTTATTTATATATGTATTTATGTGCCCTTTACAAGGTTAAGGAAGTTTCCTCTATACCTTGGTTGTTGAGAGGTTTTATTATTATTATTATTATTATTATGAATGGGTATTGACTTTTGTTGAATAATTTTTCTGTGTTTATTGAGATGATCATATGACTTTTTTCTTTAGTCTGTTTATATGGTAAATTACATTGATTGCTTTTTCAGATATTGAACCAACCTTGAATTCATGATATAAAACTCACTTGGTCATCATCTATTATCCTTCTTTTTTTTTTTAATCCTTACCCGAGGACATTTTTCCATTTTTTGTTCAGATAGAGTGGGAGGGAGAGAGAGAGAGAAACACCGATGTGAAAGGGACACATTGAGTAGCTGCCACCTGCACGACCAACCAGGGCCGAGGACAAACTGCAACCGAGGTATGTGCCCTTAGCAGGAACCGAACCCGGGTCTCTCTGGACCGCAGGCCGACGCTCTAACCGCTGAGCAAAACCGGCCAGGGCTCTATTATCCTTTTTATACACATAGCTGGATTTGATTTACCAATATTTTGTTGAAGATCTTTGTGTCCAAGTTTATGAGGGATATTGGTTTGTAGTTTTCTCTTCTTGTAATATCTTTGGTTTATGGTATGAGAGTAATGCTGGCCTCATAAAATAAATTACCACAAGAGTGTTCACCAGAACACCTCAAACAACGGAGCTGCGATTACTGAGACGGGGTTGAGCTGAGGGAGGAACAAGGGTTGCTGGGAAACAGACAGGAGTTTAGTTTTGGCCATTTTAAGTTTGAGATACAGTTAGGTGTCCAAGCTGAGAAGTGTGTTGTTGGGTGTGCCACTCTGGAGTTCAGAGGGAACGTCCAGGTGGGGATAGACATTTAAGCCTGATCAGCATCTCAGTGCCATTTAAAGTCACAAGACTAGAGGAGATGACCATGGGAATGGGTGTAGGTGGAGAAGAGGAGCACATTCTGAATCACCCCAAGGTGCTCCCTGGAGCACCCGTAATTAAGAGGTACAGAAGACGAGGAGGAACGAGAAATGAAACAGAGGAAAACCAGGGATGGAGGAGAGGCCTTACAAGCCAGGTAAGGAACGTTGCCAGGGGGAGGGGTGATCTATATATCAGTTGCTGCTGGGGGGTGCTGGGAATATGGCAATGGCTTTACCAACATGGAAGTCATTGGTGACCAAAGTGGTTTGGGTGACATGGTGAGGGCAGGAGCCCGACTGGAGTGGGTACGAGAGGATATGAAAGGAGAACCAGTAGAGATAGTCCTTTCTCTGAATGTTGAGTGAAGGCAGGCAGGATGGTAAGAGACAGGGCATTGTCTGCCAGCCCCGTGGGGGAGGGCTCACCAAGGAACTACGGCCTCCACCAGCATGTCTCTCTGGGAGAAAGCTGCCTCTCCAGCTCACACCCTGATGCCAAACAACTCAGTTCTTCCCCGTATGTTTCTGGTGCCTTCCAAGTTGCCTCCCTACACTGGAGCCCAGAGGGAGCCAGTCCAAGTAAGTCTGAGCGCGGGCCCTTTAAGAGGAGCTGCCTGGGACTCCAGAAGCCTCAGCCTCCCTCAGCCTCAATTCCCACTGGTTTTTCCAGCCAGAAGTGATGGGGATTTTCTTCCTGACACTGGAACTCTGAGTTGGGAGCCTGGTGTGAGACAGGGACCCCTCACTCCTTGGAGAGGGTCTTCACAGCCCAGGTAACCCTTCTGTTTTGTTTGTTTCTTTATTGATTTTTTTAGAGAGAAAGGGAGAGAGTGAGAGAGGAACATCGATGAGAGAGAACATCGATTGGCCGCCTCCTGCATGCCCCCCACTGGGGATTTGGCCCACAACCTGGGCATGTGCTCTGACTGGGAATCAAACCGGTGACCTCTTGGTGCATGGGTCGTGCATGGGTCGATGCTTAACCAGTGAGCCACATGGGCTGGGCTCCCTCCTGATTTTTATTCACCACGTGGGGGTGTGGGACCAGCCCATCCGAGCCTCTGCCCCTCCTACCTGTCTTGATGTGGCTTCTTTAAATTTTTTTTCTTTATTGATTTTTTTTTTTTTTTTTTTTTTTTTGAGAGAGAGGAAGGGAGAGGGAGAGAGAGATAGAAACATCAATGAGAGAAAACATCAACTGGCCGCCTCCTGCATGCCCCCTACTGGGGATTTGGCCCACAACCTGGGCATGTGCCCTGACCGGGAATCGAACCAGCGACCTCTTGGTGCATGGGTCGATGCTCAACCACTGAGCCACACCGGCCAGGCACTTCTTTAATTTCATAGTTGTGGGACTTCCATTCAGCTCGATTTCAAGTGGTTCTGAATGATAGTTGTTCTGTAGTTTAATTGTCCTTTTGATGAGGTTGTGGGAGGAGGCGATACCACGTTTACCTGCGCCACCATCTTGACTGGAAGTCCTAAGGTTGGAATTTCTTATTTCTGCAAAAAACCCCATTGGGATTTTGATAGGGACCGCATTGAATCTGTAGACATTTTGGGTAGTTTTGTCACATTAACAGTATTGTCTTGGAAACCATGAGCATAGGATGTCTTTCCATTTATTCGGGTTTTGTTTCATTTCTTTCAGCAATGGGTTTCAGTTTGCAGCCCCGCAGCCCCGCAGCAGGGAAGGGTGGTGTCGGCTGGCACGCACCTCCACCTCAGCCCGAACAGCTAATGCTTTCCAAGCACTTTCCCTGGGCCAGCACCTGTGCCACCTCCTCACTGAGCCCTCCCAGCCTGCTCCCCAGGCTGCTGTCAGGGCCTGGGGTGTACAGGTGGGGTCCTGTCACCTGTTGGATGGGGGACTTTGGCTGCGTTCCTTCCCCTGGCTGGGCCTCTGTTTCCAAATCTGCAAGCTCGCTGAGAAGGGGCAGTGAGGGAAAACCTGGGAGCGTGGGACTTGAGGTGCAGTAAGTGTGAAATTATCGCAGCTGTTAGGACCCTTTCCCCCATTTTACAAAAGTGGAAACTGAGGCTCTGGGTAAGGTCAGAGCTTCTCAGGTCAGAACCAGGAAATATCTGCAAATCCTGAAAAGAACACAGCCAAGCGCAGACGAATACACCTTGAATGAAACGCCTACAAACTACACGTTGTGATTCCTCAGTTCTCTCTGTACCAGTGACGCTGAAAGTGTCCTTTTAGGAGCTGAAGTGAGGAGGTACGTCCTCTGGATGTCTCACCTTGTCCTGGGCAAAGACAGCTCAAGCAGTTCTGTAGAGAGAGACAAGAAGCACAGCCCAGAGAGGGTCAGCTTCCTGCCCCGGGTCACACAGCCCCTGGGCTCCAAGGATCCTGAGTTCCCACCTTCAGAGTTCAAATGTGCATGAGGTTCCACCCCAGCCCCAGTGCTGACCCCTGGCTGCCTCCTCCTTCTGACTTCTCAGGGGCAGAAAAACATGCCAGGAAGCATACATCACAGGCTGTCCAACTGGGCCGGAGGGGCAGGGGTCAGCAGGGAGGTGACCTGAAGGTCTCCATGGGGACTAGGATCCGGCAGGGCTGGGGGTGAGAGGCTGGAACTTTTCCCACCCTGAGATTTTCCTGCGTCAACCCAGGAGGGCGCCCTGGATGCCACTGGCCCTGCCCCCAACCTCCTTCCTCTCTTGACACAGCTTCCCGGCTCTGGATGGATGGGGAGGGAGGGCCAAGGTGAACTGCCAGGCCCAGGAAAGGAGAGGCACTTGAGACTGACAGAGTGAAGGACCCTGGCTGAGTGTCCTCCGGGGGCTGGCTGCAGAGTCACGCAGCCTGGGGGTCCGCTGGGCCTCAGTCTCCACTGCGCTGCCCAGGAGTTGGACCCTAGCCCGGCCTTGGGTGTGTGAGAAGCCCTTGGCCCTGGGCCCTGCCCTCTGGTCCTTCCTCCCCCCACACACTGGGGACTCAGCCCTTCCTTGTGTTAAATAGAAACCTCTTTATTCTAAGTATCGTACATTCCTTAATACATTGGATTGGGGCCAGACCTTGAGGTGAGGGGAAGGAGGGGCTGGGATATTTCTGTAGAGCCTTCCAGGCCGCCACCACACACTGGGCTGGGGAGCCGGTGCTGGGAACATGTCCCCTGGCCTTGGGCGAGTCCTTGCTCCCTCTGACCCGTTTCTCTTCTGTACAGCAAGTCTGGGAGCGAGAAGGCCTCTGAGGACCTCTCCATCGCAGGGGTCTGTGGTCCCAGGCAGGGTCGGGGGGACGGTGTATCAGCAGCAAAGATGGGGCACCGAGGAGGAGGCTGGGAGAGTCTCAGCGCTGGGCCCGGGGCCCTGGTGGAGATAGAGGCCGAAGCCTGGGCAGCCGGGCCAGACTGGGCCTGGCCAGCCCCGAGACTGGGAGGCAGCACAGGAGGAGAGGGAGGCTGAGGCAGCAAGGCGGCCGGGGCACAGGGATGTCCGCGAAGAAGGCGCGGTCCTGAGGCGACAGCAGGGCTTCCCCCTCCGGCAGCTCCAGGTCCCGGGCCACGGCCAGGATCTCCTGGCGGGCCGCTGTGTTTCGCAGGCCGCGGATGTCGAGGAGGGCGGCCACGTGCTTCTGCCTGGACACGTAGGAAGGGACAGTGCATGGGGGTTCGGGGCCCCAGACACACCCCTGCCCGCCTGTGGACCCCGCCTGCTTCATGTGCAACCAGAACCTGCCTCTTCCCCCTCCAGATTCCTCCTTCGTCCCCAGTCCCCTCCAGTCCCTCCCTCTCACCAGCCGCCTCAAAGCCCAAATCCCTCTCTTCACACCAGCCCCTCTCCAGCTCCCCGTGCCAGCCCCTCTCCAGAACTTCACTTCCAGCCCTTTCCAAACCCTCCCCTTCACAATACACACCTCACCTCCAAACCCAGTCTCAGCTATTGAGTGTTTGTATGAATTTTTTTCTTTATTGACTTTAGAGAGAGAAGAAGTAGAGGGAGAGAGAGATAGAAACATCGATGAGAGAGAACATGGATTGGCCGCCTCCTGCATGCCCCCCACTGGGGATCAGCCCACAACCTGGGCATGTGCCTGACCAGGAATCCAACCGGTGACCTCTTGGTGCGTGGGTCGACGCTCAGCCACTGAGCCACACCGGCCGGGCTCAGCTACTGATTAAAATAACCTTCAATCCTCAGCCGCAACTTAGCTCAGGCAGCTCCCAGGTTTCCGCTCTGGCGCCCCCACATTGTTAAGCTCTGGCATCCAGAGCAACACTGAACTTGATCCTCAGTGTCACCTCCAGCAGCCCAGGGTCCCGCCTGAACCCTCGCCTTGCCTGGGCCAGCTCTGGAAGTTTCTCATCTCCGAAGCTCCAGAAGCCTCATCCAAAACTTCACTCAACATAGATCCCATTCTAGAAACTTCATCCCCAAATTTGGCCTTGGAACCCGCACTCACTTCACCCCCGACCCATTCCCAAATTCCAGCTCAACCAAAACTCCACGCGGGGACGAAGATCCACACTGGGGACCTACTTCAGCTGGAAGTGTCCTACCCCACACGGCGGACCCTCCCTTCTCCCCACCCCAGCTCCAGGCTGCGATCCAAAAATCAGCTCTGAGACCTCCGCCGTATTTCAACTAGAGATGCTGAACCCCACACTCGTTTCCAGAACTTTCCTTCCAAACAGTTCTTCCAAACTTCCCTTCAATCCAGCTCAGTGCCTAGACCTTCCCACGTCCCTTGGAATCCCTGCAGCTCCAAAACTCTCATCCAGAATATGGCTCAAGCCCTGGCTCGTGTGGCTCAGTGAGTAGAACGCCGGCCTGTGCACCGAAGGGTCTCGGGTTTGATTCCCTGTCAAGGGCACATGCCTGGGTTGCAGGTTCCATCCCACCAGCAACCAATCAATGTGTCTCTCTCACAGCTATGTTTCTCTCCTCTCCACCCTCCCTTCTTCTCTCCCCCCCACCCCCTCTTCCTCTCTCCTCGCCCCCACCCTCCCCTCCACTCTTTCTAAAAATCAATGGAAAAAAATATCCTCAGGTGAGGATTAACAAAATGTGGTTTAAGAACCTCCCAGATCACTCCGGTCAGTGTGGCTCAGTGGTCGAGCATTGACCCCTGCACCAAAAGGTCACTGGTTCAATTCCCAGTCAGGGCACATGTCCAGGTTGTGGGCCTGATCCCCAGTGGGGGGCATGCAGGAGGCAGCCAATCATATTCTCTCTCTTTGATGTTTCTATCTCTCTCTCCCTTTCCCTTTCTCTCTCTCTAAAATCAATAAAAAAAAAAAAAAAAAAGGAACCTCCCAGCTCAGGTGAATTCCAAAACACAGCCCCAAACTCAGCATTGGAACTGCCCCTCCCAGCCCGGCTTGAGCCCGCTCAAACTGAGCTTCAGCTTAGGATTCAAGGTCAGAACCCCCCATCCAGCAGAAACGCCGGGTTGCCCAGCCCCATGAGATCCAGGGCTCTGTGCCTTCCCCAGGACATGAGTTCTGCACCCAGAATCAGAACAGTCCATCCCAAATCAGTCCCAGAACCCTCACCCTCAACCCCTAGCCCTCAACCCCGGAACCTAACCCCTGAGATACACTCCCTGTCGCTGTGGGCTTTCGTCTCTCTGTGTGCAGAGAGGTACCCCTGCCACCGCCATTCAGGTGGACAGGTGGCAGTGTGGTGTGGTGGCCAGGTGGGCCAGCTTTAGAGACAACCTGCTGCCTGGGTTCAACCTCAGCTTTGCCACTTGCTACTTGGTTTCAGCCCACCTCAGTGGCGCCAAGTACTTAGAATGGCCCTGCCCTTTACGTACAGAGGGGTTATGTAAGATGCTTTCTTCGATCGGACATAGGACTCAAACAAGAACTGGTATTGCTACTATTGTCCCCATTGATGATGATGATGATCTGATTTCGCAATCTCATGAAAAGAGTACTATTATCCCCCTGGAACAGATGAGGAAACTAAAGGTCAGAGAGGACCACAGAGAAAGGAAATGGTCCACCAGGATCTGAACGGCGCCTGCCGCTGTGGCAGTGCGTGTGTGCCCGTGTGCCCGTGCCTGTCCCCGTGTCCCCCGCGGCTCCTCTGCTGGGCCGGCCCTTCCTGCCGCCGCCGGGCGGCCCCGAGCCCCCCTGCCCTGCGCTTCCTGTGCTTGCCTGTTTGTTTCCGAGCCCTGGTGGCTGCGGCAGCGACAGCGGCGGCGGCAGTCGAAGGAGGGAAATCGTATTAATAATGCCCTGGTTCCAGCAGGAAACGGCAGTCAGACACGCTCACCGCCTCCCTCCCTCACCCCAGAGGCAGGAAACGCCGGGACGGATGCCAAGGCCCTCCAGAGACCTCGGCCTGGCTGTGGCATGGGGCTGGGAGCGCTCACCTGATGTCTGGGTAGTCCCGAACCAGCACCCCCACCTCCACCTGGATGCTGGGCGTGTCTTCCAGCTGCAGGACTTCAGCCAAGTGGGGCACCACAGCATCCAGCCAGGAGGCCTGCGACTCCTGCAGGACAAGGTCCGGGACTCATGCTCTCCCCGAAAAGACCTCCTCCCCAAACCATGCCCTCCCAAGGCGGGCCCCTCCTGGCCTCAGTTTCCTTAGCTGTAAAACCGGGCAGAGAGTAGACTGTGGTCAGAGGTTATCTGGACCGTTTGGAACTTTGAAGAAATATCCGTAATAGAACCTATTCCCAGCTCTGCAGATAATTTTGGGCACCCCTCGGAATCTAGTCCAAATTGGCAAACCTGGGGGTGGGGGTGGGGACTGGATAACGTCCACAAGGGATCGCTCTGCATGCTCAATAACATTTGCAGGGGGGGGCGGGGAGTATTTTTCTGTCTCAAGGACTCCACACTCCTGGAATTGTGGCTGATGCGGCCTTTCTGGGCTGCTGGTTACGACTGGGTATACAAGTAAGAGTTGGTGATTTCAAATCCCTGGGTTTGGGAACCTAAGATTCTGAGTCCTGCATTTGGCTCCTGCCTCAGAGCTCAGAGTAACAGCTGGTGTTGAAGGAGTCTCCGCCCTGCCAGGCAGGGGCCTCAGCACCTAACGGGACACAACTGGTGTGGCCCCCAACAGTGCATCGGAACCACCGTTCCCGGGCGCGAGGCCAGCTGTCGCCGTGAGAAAGCTGGTTTTGCCCGCGGAGGGCAAGGATCGGGGTGTTACCGGTTGCTGTGGACTGAAAGTTGGGTGAAGGTCTTATTCGAAGCCCCCGCCCAGCCATCGGGTCGGTGATAGCGGAGCCCTCGCCCCCGGGCGCACTGACCAGCCGCCTGAACAGCCTCTGGAGCTGCGCCGCGTCCTCCCGGAGCCTCCCGGCCACGCGGCTGCGGGTCCGCGCCGAGCCGCAGCGCAGGCGCCCGCGGAGCAGGGGCTTCACGTACTCCACCAGCGCCCTCCGGTGCAGCTCCGCCACCAGCGCCTGGGGGCCCGGGAGACGCCGTGACCTCGTGTCCCCGCTTCCCACCCAGAGCGCCCCACGGGAACCCCTGCCCTGCCCGCAGGGCACCGGCTCCCGCCCAGGCCCCGCCCCGCCGCAGGGCGACCCCTGTCCTGTCTGATGATACCCTCCTCTGCCCCTAAGCAGCTCGTCACCCCTGCGGCCCCCAAAGGGTGCCCCACCCCCACCTTCTCCCCATTCTCCGGAGTTCCACTTCCCAGTCTCCACCCCGTCTGCACCCGTCCGAAGCCCACACCTGCGGACACGCCTCCCCGCAGGTCCCAGGCAGAGCGCCACCTAGCTCACCCCGAGAGAGCTGCTCCCTACCTTCAAGGGGTCTCCCCCCCTGAGCCTCCAGCTCCCCACCCAGCCCCAGCAGGCGCACCTGGTAAGGCTCATCCTGCATCCGGCGCAGGGCCAGAGCCTGGGCGCCCAATGTGCCCACGATGCCATCCAGGGCCTCCGGGCTGCTCAGCCACTTTCTGCGCATCAGCTTGTTGAAGTGTGGCTGGGAGGGACAGAGTGGAAGAAGGGTCACAGCTGCCCTCTCTGCCACTCTTTCTCTTCACTTACTAATCCAACATATGTTCCCAAACCGCTCTGAGCTAAACCAGCCCACAAGCCAGTGCCTGAGATAGCCCTAGCCCTGCCTTCTTGGGGATCAGAGTCCAGGGAGGGAGACAGACCCTGTCCCCAGACAGTGATGACCCCGAGTGTGCAGAGCTGGGAGCCCAGGCAGGGGTTTAGGAAGCTCAGAAAGGATGCCTGAGTCAGCAGAGTCCAGGAGGGCTTCCTGGAGGAGAAGATGACAGAGCTCAGGCCCTGGCCACGGTCACTGTTAGCCAGATGGAACAGGGAGTGGCTCAACAGGAGGGAAGTGTGAGGAAGGTTCCAGATGGCCTTGCTGGTCAGAGGACCAGAAAGGTCAGTGTGGCTGGCAAGACCGTCTATGTAATTCTTGGGGCCCAGTGCAAGTGAAAATGGAGATTCATTCAAAAATTATTAAAAACTTCAAGACAGAAACAGGAGAGAATTAAACCAAGCTCAGTTCCTTCTAAGTAGTGGGGCCCTGTGTGACTGCTCAGATCTCTAGGTCCCTAAGGCCACAACTGGTGACCGGACAGTGTGGTCAGGGGTGCAGCAGGACACACAGGGCTTCCTGGGCTGGATGAGGAATCCCAGCTTTCTCCTGAGGGCACTGGGGAGCCATGGCAGGTTCTGAGCAGAAAGGGGAGAAGGCTCGTCCAGCCAGTGTGGCTCAGTGGTTGAGCGTTGACCCATGCACCAAGAGGTCACCGGTTCAATTCCCGGTCAGGACACATGCCCAGGTTGTGGGCCCGATCCCCAGCGGGGGGCATGCAGGAAGTGGCCAATTGATGTTCTCTCCCATTGGTGTTTCTCTCTCTCTCTCCCTCTCATTTCCTCTCTCTCTAAAATCAATAAAGGGAAAAAAATTTTTAAAAAAAGAAGGGGAAGAGGGTCAGGTTTGTGGTTCATGGAGCTTGAGAGAAGGGGGCAAGACTGAGGCAGAAATCAGGAAGGAGGCTGGATGGAGGGGAAAGGGGGGAAGACAGGGATCAAGAGGAAAAAGAAGTTATGATCATAGGATGCAGTGAGTGACCACCTGTGGGGGGAGGGGCGGGAGGCATCTGGAGATGCAGGGTAGGAGGAGTGAGGGGAGACACAGGAGTCTGGATGGACACCCCAAGGGTGAGGCACCCAGAGACCTCCGGGGTTGGTGTCCATGGGGGCCTGAAGCAGGTTCTTGTCCCACTCAGCCCTGCACCCTGTTTCTGCTCTCTCATCCTATAGCAGCCCGGTTTTCTGAACCTCCAAAAATGGGGCCAGTGGGCTTTTACTGAAAATCAGTGAGAGCCCTGGCCAGTTTGGCTCAGCGGTTAGAGCATCCGACCGCGATCCAGAGAGACCCGGGTTCGGTTCCCGCTAAGGGCACGTACCTCGGGTTGCCGTTTGTCCCCAGCACGGGTTGGGGTCGTGTGGGTGGCAGCCAGTCGATGTGTCTCTCTCACATCGATGTTTGTCTCTCTCTCTTCCTCCCTCTCTCCCTCCAGCTCTATCTGAAGATGAATGCAAAAATGTCCCCGGGTGAGGATAAAAAAAAAAAGAAAGAAAATCGGTGCAAATGAAATGAGCTGACATTGTTGGTACCGCGCCTGGCTCAGGACACATTACTGTTGCTATAAAGTCTGTCCATTATGAAGATAATGTTGGCCAAGACCCACGGGCCAGACCCGAGCTAAGCATTGTATGGCCACAGTCCCATCGCTTCGCCTGGAATTCCTGTGCCCTCTGTCTAAACAGAGGCCTGGAAAGGACCAACAGTGTACCCAAGGCCTGGAACAAAGACTGGACACCCTTCCCAGCACTCCCAAACCCCCAACTTACTTCCATTCACACACTTCTTTGTTTAGTCACTCAACAAACACTCTCTGAGTCTTCCTGTGGGCCCAACCCTGGGTGGGCCACTGGGGACACAGAGAACACTTGGGGACACAGCACAGAACGAGACAAGCGCTCGCTGGTCACAAGCACGTCAGGGGAACCTACATGCTGATGTGACGTGTGACGCTATTCAGTGACTGTTCCTCGCGTCAGGTATAAAACTGGCGTTGCGGTTACGTTTGCTCAGAGAGGGCCCCTGGTCTTCGGGAGAAGCGGTTGACGGATGGTGGGAGGTGTCAGGGGTCTGCTGGGAAAGCATCCAGCAGGCAGGAGGAGTGGGGAGCCCAGCACCCGGAGCTGACTTGCTGGAGCTGGTGACAAGCCCACAGGAGGTCACTCTGTCATTCTGCCTGTTTTTGTGTATGTTTGAAATTTTCCATAATAATAAGTTATTTTAGGAACATTCCAACAAATCCTTGCTCTTGATAAACTAACATTCCAGAGAGAGGAGACAGATTTTTTTGTTTTGTTTTTTATCCTCACCCGAGGACATTTTTGTATTTATCTTCAGATAGAGCGGGAGGGAGAGAGGGAGGAAGAGAGAGAAACATCGACGTGGGAGACACATCGAGTGGCTGCCACCCACACGACCCCAACCGGGGTGGGGACAAACTGCAACCGAGGTACCTGCCCTTAGCGGGAACCGAACCCGGGACTCTCTGGTCTGTGGGCTGACACTCTAACCGCTGAGACAAACTGGCCAGGGCGAGACAAATTTTTTTTTTTTTTTAAAAAGGAAAAAATATACAGCATGGCAGGTGGTATTTTGGTGACACATAGAGCAAGGAGTGAGAAAGGGAGTCTATTTTATTTTATTTTTAACTTTTATTTATTGATTTGAGAGAGAGAGAGAAACATCGATTTATTGTTTTATTATTTATGCATTCATTGGTTGATTTTTTTTTTTTAATCCTCATCAGTGGACATTTTTCCATTGATTTTTTTTTTTATCCTCATTTTTCCATTTTTTGTTCAGGTAGAGTGGGAGGGAGAGAGAGGAACAGAGAGAGAGAGAGAAACATTGATGTGAAAGGGACACATCAAGTGGCTGCCACCCGCACAACTGACCAGAGCCGGGGACAAACTGCAACCGAGGTACATGCCCTTAGTGGGAACCGAACCCGGGTCTCTCAGGACCGCAGGCCGACGCTTTAACCGCTGAGCCAAACCAGCCAGGGCTCCATTGATTTTTAAATAAAGTGGAAGAAAAGGAGGGAGAGAGAGACAGAGAAACATCGATGTGAGAGAGACACATCGATTGGTTACCTCTCTCGCAACCTCAATGGGGACCAGGGGTTGAACCCGTAACCAAGGTACGTGCCCCTGACCAGGAATTGAACCCGTGACTCTGGTCCATGGGCCGATGTTCTAACCACTTAGCCAAACTGGCCAGGGCCATTGGTTGATTCTTGAATGTGCCCTGACCGGGCATCAAACCTGCAACCTTGGCGCATGGAGATGATGCTCCAACCAACTGAGCTACCCAGCCAGGGTGGGAGTCTGTTTATTTATTATTTATTTTATTTTATTTTTTTATCCTTATCTAAGGACATTTTTCCATTTTTTCTTTAGATAGAGTGGGAGGGAGAGAGAGGAAGAGAGACAGAGAGAGAGAAAAACATTGATGTGAGAGAGACACATCGAGTGGCTGCCACCTGCACGACCCAACTAGGGCCGGAGACAAACTGCAACCGAGGTACATGCCCTTAGCGGGAACCGAACCCGGGTCTCTCTGGACCGCAGGCCGATGCTCTAACCGCTGAGCCAAACCGGCCAGGGCGGGAGTCTGTTTACATAGGACAGTCAGGGAAGGGCGGTCTCACTGAAAGGTGATATCTGCGTCAAGACTTCGAAGAGGTGAGAGGGAGCATTGTGGCCACTGGCGGGGAGAGTGGTCCAGGCAGAGAGAACACAGTGCAAAGGCAGAGGCTGGCCTGGGCCTGTCTGGCAGGAGCTGCAGGAAGCGCTGTCGCTGGAGTGGCCGCAGGGGGAAGGGAGGAGTGAGGGTAGAGGGGGAAGGAGCAGACTGTGCAGGGCTCGGGGTCACGGCAAACACTTGGGCTTTTGCCCTGAGTGAGCTGTGAGCCATGGAAGCTTCTGAACAGAGGCGGGACACGATCTGATGTACAACATGGATGGGACACGCGTTACAACCATGCGCCTCAACCACACAGCTCTCAGGCTCCTTCCCTGTTTTCCCACCGCCCTCCCCACATGCTCTCACCCACCTCCAGGGCTGGACGTGCACAGGAGCCCGGTGAAGGTGAACAGGGCTCTAGGGTCTAGAAAAGGCTGGGCAGGCATTTGGTGGCCCTCGATGGGGAGGGGCTCCACCCAGTCCCTGAGGCCCCTCCTGCGGGTGGCTCTCTGTCCTCACCTTGAACATATCTTCCCACCTCTTCCTTCCTATATCCCCCTTTGTCCCCCAAATGGCCAGACGTGGCCATCACCCCACCCCTGCTTCCCAAACACTGAGTCATGGGCTGAAAGGAACAGGGATGAGGGGGAGGTATGCCCCCTGTCCCGGCAGGGCCCGCCCAGCCCTCCGCCTCACTCACCTGCAGCTCCTGGAACAGGAGGTCAACCAGCACCCGGTGGCAGAGCCGGGTCACACGGTCCAGAGCGCTGACTGCTGCTTCCCGGGCCGGCTCACTTTCGGGGGGCCCCACCCGAGCCAGGCGCTCTGCCAGGGCCCTGTGGGGATCAGCGAAGCCAAATGTCAGGGAGCCCCAACATTCAGCCCAACTGCCTGGACCTGTGTCCCTCCTTAGATGACCCTATTTTGTGGGCAACAGGGATGACAGGTCAGATGGGGTGCTGGGGAAAGTCGGGCTCAGGGGACAGTCTGGGGGCTGAGAAATATTGGGGGAATCTGAGAGACTGAGGGGTTGGGGGGCTCTGGGGAGTGAATGGGAGCCCAGAGGGTGTTGTGGGAGGAAAGGAGTCTCTCTGGGTCTGTTCCTCTCAGTGAGAGTGGGCAGGTCTCCATTCTCAAAGTTTGTGATTCTAGACATCGATGATTCTAAAAGTCTACCCTTCTCACTTCCTGCCACCGTAACAGTCAACCACCCTCCAAAGCTCCGGGAAGGTCTGGGACAATCTGGCATTTCTGCCCAAATCCCAGCAGCCTCTGCGGGAGTGAACCCCTGCGTCCCAGGGCTCACAGGAGTTGACAGATGTGCCAGGTGTTTCTCTGCAAAAGAGAGGAGCCAGCCCAGGCTGGTGGCTCCGTTGGTTGGAGCATTGTCCCCCAACACCAAATGGGGCCGGGTTTGATTCCGGATCAGGGCACAGACCCAGGTTGTAGGTTCCATTGGGGGAGGGGTTGTCAGGGTGCGATAGGATGATGTTTCTCTCTCTCTCTCTCTCCCTCCCTCCCTCTCTCTGAAATCAATTTTTTAAAAATAGAGTGGAGCCAACTATCCATCCAGGGGGGACAGATCAAATAGACCCTGTCATATCCAAGAAGTGGAACACAGTTCAGACATGAAATGGGAACGCGGGCCTCTTTGGGAGCTGGCAGAGAGGTCTCCGAGCATTAAAGGGAAAGGGGCAGAGTGTGTTTTATATTCCGCCATTTATATTTTCAAAATAATTTTTTTCTTTATTGATTTTAGAGCGAGAGGAGGGGAGAGGGAGAGATAGAAACATCGATGAGAGAGAACATGATTGGCCGCCTCCTGCATGCCCCCCACTGGGGATTTGGCCCACAACCTGGACATGTGCCCTGACCAGGAATCGAACCGGTGACCCCTTGGTGCATGGGTCAATGCTCAACCACTGAGCCACACCGGCTGGGCCATTTATATTTTTTTTTAAAAAGAAAAAGAATAATGTGTATGCATATATTTAAATGTATTTGCATGTATATGTAGGAGATATGCATGTATCTGCAGATGTATGAAGCATATACAGTATATACATCTATATGCACTGAATTATATCTATTTGCCGGTAAATATATCACATATCCCTGCGAAGATGTGGGAGACACTAGCAATAACTGGTCACCTCTAAGTGGGGGCGGGGGGAAGAAGGGTGGGCAGGATTTTCCCTGTTTTAAGTTACTAAAAAAGGAGAGGAAGATGAAAAGGTAAATAAAAATCTGTACTTCTCAGAGCATGTGAGTCTGGCGTTCAGGTTTCTAGAATTCTAACACGCCAGTGTTCTGATGACGCCCTAATTCTGGTTCTTTCTAGGAGTCCCAGGCTTTACGTTTCTAAGGTCCTAGGTACACGCCTCTCTGCGCTCCCTGCCCCGGATGTGGGCACCCCAGTTCAGCTTGTGCCCCGGAAATGCCCCTCGTCCCCAACGCTGTGGGTGCTCTCACCTCAAGGGGGGGCCGCAGTTGACCAGGGTGATGGTCCTGCTGATGTAAGTGTCCAGTGGCAGCTCCCGGACGGCTGGGTTTTCGTGGAACCGCTCCACGCGCTGCTGGAAGCTGTGGGGGGGGCGGTGAGGGCGGCAGATGGAACACTGCTGGCTGGGGTCCCTTGCTGGGCACTCGCCCTGCAGAGCCTGTGACCCCGCTGAGGCTCCCCCGCCATCCTGCCTTTTTCTCCCCTTTCATCTCTCCTCCCTGTGGCCTCTGGGCCCCGCGCACCCCCCATACCTCTGCAGGAACTCTGCCAGCCCCCTCAGGCAGCAGTGGGCCATCCGCTCCCCGAAGCCCTGGCTGATGCAGGGCGCTCGCTCCGTGTGCTCCTCCAGGAGCTGCGGGTCCCAGGGGGAAGGGGGGAGGGCGTGAGCAGTGGGTGAGGCCAGCGTCCCCACCGGGCACTGTCCCCGCTGATTCTCTTTCCTCTTCCCCACCCCCTACCTCACACACGTCCTGGGCCAGGTTGCTGGGCCGGTCCTCCGAGCTCCCCCAGAGCTCCTCGTCCTCCTGCAGCGCCCGAAGCAGGGCTGCCCCAGTCTGAGCCTGCAGTGGGGAGTGTGGGAGGCAGGGGTCAGGGGTACTGGGGAGCCTCTCCCTCGCTTTCTCCCACTGTGATCCCCACACCTTCGCCGAGCAGGTCTGGATTCTACCAGTGAGCTCCTCAAAGATACACTGGGGAGGAAGGCTGGACCAGGAAACCTCCCCAGCCCTTTGCATTGCCAAGGCTAGGATTGGGGGCTTCATATTAAGAGTCTGGTTTTAAGCTTCCTCCATCTACTACCCAGAGGGTTTAAGGGTCAACTCTCATTATTTCATGGCCTTAGGACTCTGCTCTCAGGTTTATTTATTAAAATAAAATAAATAAATAATTCATGCAAGATTGTCAGATTCTGGGGTTCAAATTCCCAGGGTCTGGGATTGTACGTTAACCCATCTCTGATTCTCTGGTCCAATGTTGTCTTCAACTCAGTGACTCTGAGAACCTAGACATGTTCAAGTCTAAGATTCTGGGCTCTCAAGTTGCAAAGATTCTGATTTTGGTGGCTGAGGCAGGACTGGCCTTCAGATAGGAACCCCCGTGGCCAGGCCAGGTGTTTTTGGCCGGGCCATTCTGCTCCAGCCAGTCGTCAACCAGTTTACTATCAGCCCTGCCGATACGCAGAGATGCCTTGACCCTCCTGTGAGTCTCTGGGTCCAGGACGTGACGTTCTGTGACTGACTTTCTCTTGCTCTAAGATTTGAATGTCTGGATGCATCGAACCTTTACTGAGCGTCTCTGTGCCCAGCTGGCTGCTTAGAATACAGCACTAAATGCAACACAGGAGTGATCAGTGTGGATTTTCATTTCTACGTCTTTTGGACAGAACTCAGAAGTCCACCAAAGGAAAAGGGAGGTGAAAATATCAGCAGCTGGAGGGGAAGGCCCCCAAACCCAATGTGCCCCCTCCCTCACTGCATTGCCCCCCTTCCCTTCCGAATCACCCATGCCAAGTCTCAGGTACCTTCACATCCGTGAGACATTCATCCTCCAAGCCTCGCACGGTGCCAGGTGACAGAAGGGACCCAAGTTCCCCATTCTCCAGGGCGACCATGTCCACCAGCCCCAAGACTTCCCTGAGGGTGTGTGGGGGAGATAAGGGACAGGAAGATCTGTGAGAGGTGGGGCAGAGCAGCTGACCTCTCCCCATCCCCTCACACCCAGTATGACCCTGGGCCACTCTCTTCCTCTCTCGGGGCCAACTTTGCTCATCCTTCAAAGGAAGTCTCTGCAATTGTGGCTCCCCTGGTCCCAGCTCTGAGTCAGCTCCCTGAGAGGCGATGTCTGGGCAAGACTTATAGGCATCAAGTCCAAGCTTGACTACTTGGCACGCAAGGTCTTACCCGTGATCCCTTCACCATACAGAAGCTCTTTTCACCCCCAAAGTCTCCCCTCCAGCTCCCCTCCTGGTCCCTAACCCCCATCTGGCCTTGGAGGCCTCTCCAGTTCATCCCTCACTCCCTGCTTCAGCAGCCTGCGTGCCCTGGCCTGTGCCATCCCACCACCCTCCCCACCACCCACACACACCAGGCTTTCATGGCATCTCCTCAGCCTGCAGTACCACTGTCTCCCTACAGATCAGACAACTCATTCCCACCATTTAGGAAGCTTTCCAGACTCCCTCTCCTGCCTCTCTCTCTCTCTCTCTCTCTCTCTCTCTCTCTCATGGATGGTGTGAGCGTGTCATTAACACATTTTCCCAAATGGGATCTCGGGGGTGGCTGTCAGGAGCTATCGCCTTCCCATCCTTCTAGGGAAAGCATCCAGATTTTGTCTGAGGAACCACCCACCTCCTTCACTCTCTAGCCTGTGGTTTGGGTGTGGCCAACTCCTTTTTCCCAGGAGTGGGGAGGTGACCCAGTCCTGGCTAATCACCATATTCCATCCCCCAGCCACAAGAATGGGTGTGTTCTAGATTCAAAGACTTGATAGTTATAAGATTCTAGGACTGGGGGGGTGGGGGTGGGGTAATGGTGCCAGGCTCTAGATGCTAAAATTACAGAACTGACCCGGGGGCCAACAGTGCTACAGCCCTCAGACTGACGGATCAACAGCGTCATGATTCTAGGATCCAAAGAGGGGATGAGGCTAAGGTTTAGGGTTGGAAGGCTCGTTGGTACCAAGAGTCTAGTTTGGAAGCCTCATCAATTCTCCCGTTCTGGGATTAGAAGTCAACAGTGTTAATGCCCACGGAGCTAAAGAGGGAGCCGAGTCAGGGTTCTAGAATCCGAAGGGTCAATAGTGCCAAGATTTGAAGACAACCAGGGTCAGTGGCGTTTTGGTTCTAGGCCTGGAAGGGTCCAACGTGCTGAGGTTCTAGAATGGGAGGGATCCGTGTTCTACGTTCTAGCACCGGGAGAGTAGCCGGCGCTGATTCTGGGATTGTCACTGTCACGAGTGACGAAGACGGGAAGCGTCAAGGGTGTTAAGGCTGTAGAATGGAAGGGTCAGCCCGCTGGTACTAAGATTAAAGTTCTGGGGGCTGGACAGGCCAGGGGGGGGCTGGGCGTTCTGCACGGTCGGAGGGCTGCAGCGGGTCCCAGGCGGCGGCTCTGCGGCGCATGCTCACCTGGGGTACACCTGGTGGTGCCAGTGCAGCAGCGCGTAGCGGTCGGCGAGCGGCAGCCTCCGGCGGGCGGCGGCGCCCACCCAGTCGGCCAGCGCGCCGTGGTAGCCGCGCAAGTAGACGCCGAAGGCGCCCAAGCCCGCGGGGTAGGCGGGCACCAGGCGGCCCCGCACCACGCCCATGTCCTCGAGCAGCCGCGCCCGCAGCGCCTCCAGCTGCGCCGCCAGGCCCCCGGGGGCCCCGGGTGTCGCCGCCTCCAGGCGCTCCCGCGCCGCGCGCGCCACGGCTTCGGCCCAGCGGGCGCGCAGCTTGCGGGCCGCCCCGGGCCCCCGGCGCCCGTCCGCCGCCTCCTCCTGCAGCAGCACCTGGCCCAGCTGCGCCACGGCGCCCGCCCCGGCGCCCACGCCCGGCCCGGGGCCCGCCAGCGTCTCGCGCACCAGCGCCCACAGCTCGCGCTGCAGGGCCTCGTACAGCAGCGCCACGTCCCGCGCGCGGCGGCCCCCGCCTGCGCCCTCCACCTTGGGCGGCCCGGGCGCGCCGCCCCCCGACGACGCCAGCTCCTCGGCCTCCAGCTCCAAGATGTGCTCGTCGGCCCTCGCGAGCTCGCGCTGCTGGATCAGACTCAGGATTTCCAGCACTGTGGGCACAAAGCGGGAGTCAGGGGAGGAAGGCGGGCAGGGCCGGGGCAGCGGCGGGGGCGGCGGGGAGAGGGGGGGAGGAAGGGTTTGGAGCGGAGAGGAGTCGGGGGCGGTTCGGGAGCAGGGGGCGGAGAGGAGGGTATCAGAAGAGGGGGTTCGGAGAGGGAGAAGGTGGGCAGAGGAAGTTGAGGGCTGGTGGGGGAGGATGGAAGAGCAGGGACAGAAGTGGAGGAGGGGGTCAAGAAAGAGGGTGAGGGAACTGGAGAAAGGAGACGGCCGGGAACAGAAGGGAGAAATGAAAGGGGGGTTTGGGGAGGGGAGGGAGGGGGAGGAGGGATGGACGAGGAGGCAAAGGAGGGTGCGGACAGGAGAGGTCAGGGAGGGAAGAAAGGGGTTGGGATGGAAGTCGGTGTCTGGATACGGGAAGTAGGTTAAAGGACTAGATAGAGGGAGTCACCTTAGTAAGAGGATTGGAGGGGGGAGTCAGAGGAAGTGGGGATAAGGGGTTGAGGAAGAAGAAAGAGGGCTAGGGCATGAGGTAAGGGGTCAGAGTATGGAAGAGGAATCGGAGTGGGTTAGGGAGTGGGGAGATCAGGGGAGTCGGAGGGTGAGGACAGAAAGGGCATCAGGGCCAGAGAACGTAGGGTGGCTGAAGGAGAGGCCAAGGGATGGAGGGAGCCCTGGACCAGTGGGCGGGGTGGAGGCTGGGACCCGGGGAGAGGATATCAAAGCCAGAGATGGGTCTCTCGGGGGTAAGGACAACTGTGGGGTGATCTGGCACGCCGATGAGTTCAGACTCCCCTAAGAGAGGGAAGTCGTGGGGCTGGGAGGCCTCTGAAAGAAGACAGAGGGAGGGTCCCAGTGGCCCAGGGTTACCCCCAACACCTCCAACCCCCCTCCACTTCCTCCCTGGCAGAGAAACTATTTCCTGGCCGGCGCTATTTCTGCCCATCCGTTTCCAGAAGGCGGGGGCTCCAGTCACCCCCTTCTCACCTCCCTGCAGTGCCTCCCAGTCCCCAGGGAGCAGGGGCTGAAATAGCCTCTGGCCAGGATGTGGAGGGCATCAGAGGACGCAGAGAGGGCTCTCCGGAGGTCCCTGCTGCTGGGGCAGCACGGGCTGCCTGTGGGGTGGGGGTTAGGAGCTGAGATGGGGGGTGGAGGAGATAGAGACCAGGTTGGGGGTGGGGTCGAGTGAAGGTGGGGATTGGGACAGGGTTGGGGATTCAGATGGAGATGAAGGTGGGAGTTGGGATGAGGGAGTTTAGGATTAGGGTAGGGTGGGGTTGAAATCTGTAGAGGGGGATGGGAAAGGAATTGAGAACTATATCTGGGGATTGGGTAGGAATGAGGTTGGAGATGTGGGTGGAGATGAGTTTCGGTGAGAGTTGAGAATGGGAAGATGGTAGAGATGGGTATGAGTTTGAAGGTGAAGTTTGAACATGGGTTGGGATTGTGAATGGATGAAGTTGAAGGTAGAGGTTGGGAATGTGTTTAGGATGGGGACTCAGGATGGGGTGGAGATGGGATTAAGATGGAAAGAGGAGGCTGAGTTCGGGTTGGGGCTGAAAATGGGGGCTGGGGAGGGGCTAGGACTGAAGGAGGAAGTTGGGGCAGGAATGGGGTTGGAGGTGGAGGGGGAGATGGACCTGGTGTTGGGGGTTAGGAGTGAGAATGAAGAGGGGAAAGGGTTGAAGTTGTACTTGGGGGATGGGATTGGCGTAGAGAAATGGGCCAAGGGATGGGGCTGGACCAGTTGGCCATTGCCATGGTGTTGGGCAGTGATGAGGCTAAAGATGGCCTTTGGAGAAAGTGATAGGTTGGGGATAAGCATGTGATATGTAAGGTGGAGATTACCACTGGAGTTGGAATCAATCAATATGGAGTAAAACCCAGAAAGGCATTAAGGAGGACATGGGGCTTGGGATAGGACTGGGGTCGAGGATACAGATGGTGGTGTTACGAGCTGATTGCTCCCCCTCACAAAAACCAAGTGAAGTCCCAACCCCCAGGACCTCAGAAGGGGACCTGATTTGGAAATAGCGTCTCTACAAAGGTAATCAAGTTAAACCGAGGTCATAAAGTGGGTCCTAATCCAGGATGACTAGTGTCCTTATAACAAGGGGAAATTTGGACACCAAGACAGACACGCGCAGAAGGAGGGTGATACGAAGAGTCCAGGAGAGAAGGCCATGTGAACATAGGGCACTGGACTGATGGCGCCACAAGCCAGGGGACACCGAGGACTGTCAGCAAAGCGCCAGAAGCTGGAAGAGGCCAGGGAGGATCCCTCTATACGTCTCAAGGGGGCACTTTGATTTTGGACTTCTCCAGACTGCGAGAGAAGACATCTTTATAGTTTTAAGCCCCTGGTTGTCAGGCTTCATTATGGCAGACCCAGGAAAGTGACACGGTGGAGGTAGGTTTGGGGCGATGCAGTCAGGAGATTAATGTAGATGCTGGCATGGGGCTGAGTTTGAAGAGGAAGCTTGGACATGGATTGAGGTGGGGATGAAGTGGAAGATGGGGCTGAGGCACTTGGGATGGGAACGGAGTTAGGGATGAGGGTCAGAGCGGGACGGAAGAGGCGAAAGGACAGGGTCAAGGAGGAGGTTGTGGTGGGGCTGGAGTGTGCGGCTGGGGATGGGAACAGGGTGGACTGGAGGTTAGGGGGGGCAGAGCTCAAGGCCAAACGCGGATACTTTGGAAGAAGATGGGACTGAGGTCGAATCTGAGGGTGTGGAGGAAAAGAGGGTTGAAACTGGGGAAAGGGAGGGGGTCAGAGGCGATGAGATGAAAGTTGGTGATTCAGTTGTCGCTGGAAATGGGGGTGAGATTGAAGAGGGCTGGACTAGGGGTGGGCGTGGCCATGGGGTGGACCCTGGGGCTCGGTGCCCCATCAGGGCTGTCCTTGTCCTTGGAGGCTGGCAGGGGCGGGCTGGAAATGGGCACTGTGATTCGCCCAGGCCTGGGTCAGGACTCACCTGACAAGGGCTCCTTCATCTTTGGTGGCTCTGGGACCTTGGGTGGAGGCTCTGGAGCCGCCTCGCCAGCAGGCACCACCCTCTCGGCCAGCGAGGCCCGCCGGGGCTTGGGCCCGCGCCCCAGTCTCAGGAAGGCCAGCCTCCTGGCGGCATCCCCGGTGGCCTCCTCATCACCCTGGGCTCGGGTCCCCTGAAACCTGGCCAGGAGGCCAAAGTCTGCTGAGCTCCTGCGTATGCCCGGTGTCAGCACGCGGCCCAGGAACGAGCGGGCCTGCCCGTTGCCGGGGCTGCCTGCCCGCCGGCCGGGGTTCCAGCCCAGTCGGAAGGTGGCCAGGCCTGCCAGCTTCTCCAGGGTGGCGCGGCGGCCGCATGATGTTCCGTTGGGCAGGGTCCCCAGCCGCCCAGCCTCCTCTTCTTCCAGCCCCGGAACTTCCTCAAAGGGGTTCCCAGAGGTCCTCCGGGGCAGGGTCCCTGCCCGGGGCACCTTAGAATCTGCGCTCCCTAGACTCTTCAGGATGGGCATTTTGACAGGCGAGAGACCTGGGGGAAAAGCATATGGACCGTGAATGGTGCTGACGACAGTGGATACCCACAATCCCCCTGTGTGCCCAGGGCTTCGGGGCACCCGTGCCAGGCACTGGGCTGAGCACTCACTGCTGCCTTGAATCCTCGCAATCCCACAAGGTGAGCCTATTACTGTGCCCATTTTACAGATGTCACAGCTCAGAAGGACAAAGACACTTGCCTTACGTCCCACAGCGATTCAGGGGCAGAGGCGGGATGCGCACCCAGAGGTCGGCACTCAGACCCTTCCCCTCCCTCCCTCCGCCCTGGCATGTTTGTCATCTTAGTTGACCCTCACGCTCCATGAAGAAACAGGCTCAGAGAGGGGAAGGGTCTCTCTCAAGGTGGCACAGCGGCAAAGAGCAGAGACGGCTTGGGACCCCAAGTCCCACCATTATCCAGGTCACACACCGGCGCACCTGCCTCATCTCCCCTGTCCAGTCAGTACCCTGTCACCTCTACCCAGTTCATTCCTCCAGCAGAACTTCCTGGGGAAGCACAATGGGCAGAGCCATAGACAGAGAGATGAGTGGTTGCCAGGGGCTGGGAGACAGGGCCGGGGGAGTGACTGTTTACTGGATACAGTTTCCTTTTAAGGGGATGAAAGTGTTCTGGAACTAGACAGAGGCGATGGTTGGCAACACTGTGAATGCACTAGCTAGACGCCACTGAACAGTAGTACACTTTAAAGTGGCTACTGTGGCCCTGGCCGGGTAGCTCAACTGGTTACAGCGTCGTCCCGATATGCCAAGGTTGTGGGTTCAATCCCTGGTAAGAGCACCTCTCTCTCTCTCTCTCCCCCTCTCCCTTCCTTTCTCTAAAGTCAATGAAAAGATTAGGCTTTTAATAAAATCAAAATAAATTGGTTAATATGGTGAATTTTGTTATGTGTATTTACCACAGGGGGGAAAACAAACAAAACGTCCTAGGCGTTTGCTATGGCTGGGCCCTGTGCCGTCACTGGGGACAGCAGTGGCCAAGGAAGCTCCAGGCTCTGTCCTCACGGGGCTTGAAGCTTCCTGCCCATTTCATTTCCTCAGTCCCCCATTTCCCTCCCTTTCCATGGTCCCTACCCTGGTCCAAGTCCCTACCTGCTTCCCTGCCTTCTCTCTGTCTCCAGACTCTAATCATAGCCTCTCCAGTCCACCTTTGAGGGTCTTGTTAAAGCACAAACCTGCCCCTTCCCTTCTCTTAACCTTCCATGGCTCCCCAGTGCCCTTGGGACAAAATTCAGGCCCCTCCAGCTGTGCCCCTCACCAGTGCTATCCCAAACTCCTCTGGGTTTCAGCATCTATTGATCTTTTCTTTTTTAATCCTCACCCAAGGATATTTTTCTATTTATCATCAGACAGAGCGGGAGGGAGAGGGAGAGAGAGAGAAACATCGATGTGAGAGAGACACATCGACTGGTTGCCTCCCGCATGACCTGACCAGGGCTAGGGACGAACCACAACCGAGGTATGTGCCCTTGACTGGCATCGAACCCACGACTCACTGGTCCTCCGGCAGATGCTCTAACTGCTGAGCCAAACCAAGGCTCTATTGCTCTTTTCACATGGAAACTTGTTCTCCATGCTCCACTCATGTTTTAGGACTCAGCCCCAACCCACCCCTCTTCCGGGAAGCCCTCCCTGATGCCCAGCCTGGGTCAGATGCCCCCTCAGGACTCCCCCTCCTTCACACCAGCCCACTGGGCGTCATTGTCTGGGGCTGACTCAGTGTTCCCCACTGGACTGTGAGCCCCAAGAAGGCAGGGTCAGAGCTCTCTCTGTCACCACTGTGTCCTCAGCTCCCAGGGCAGGCATTTGGGGAATGAATGAGTGATAAACAGGAAATGAAAGAAGGAGGCAAAGTCTTCATCCCTTGTGGGGAAGAAGAATTGATGAGTCAAGCTGAGAGGTCAGTAAGGAGCAGGCCACAGATGACCTCCAGTGCGTGACCGGAGACCCAGCCTTTCTTCCGGGGGCCCTGGGGAGCCATGGGAGGGTGCCTTTTAAAATGATGAAATAGCCCGAACGTTCAGTCAAGTACAGAGGAAAACCTCAATGAGCAGCTCTGTGCCTACAGTCCTAGCTGCCTCTAAGCAAACGTTGGCTCCATCTGTTCTTTTTTTTTTTTTAATCCTCACCCGAGGACATTTTTCCATTTTTTGTTCAGACAGAGTGGGAGGGGAAGGGAGAGAGAGAAAAACATCGACGTGAAAGGGACACATCGAGTGGCTGCCACCCGCACGACCAACCAGGGCCGGGGACAAACTGCAACCGAGGTACATGCCCTTAGCGGGAACCGAACCCGGGTCTCTCTGGACCACAGGCCAATTCTCTAACCGCTGAGCCGAACTGGCCAGGGCTGTTCTTTTTTTTTTAAGAGTCAAGTGTTACAAATGCACTGACCCCCAACTGCCTGATCCTGCTCGCCCCAGCCCTCTCCCAAGACAAGCTGCTTCTGGAGTGTCCACGCAACTTTTACCCCGAACCCACAGAGTTGTGCCCAGAACTAATCACACGTCATTTTATGTGGTTTCAAACTCTCTATAAATGCTATCATTCTACATGGGTCCTGCGATCCGTTTTTTGGGGGGCCTGTCTCTGTGGCTCCAGCGGGTTATTTCGTGCTGCGTACTATTCCACTGCGTGACTTGGCACAATTGTGTCGAGTATCAGATGGTCACGCGCTCTCCTCCTGCAGGACACGTGGGCTGTTCTGAGCTGGGTCTGAGCAGGCGAGGGATGGGGTCAGGACCGGGCAGCCTGATGCTGAAGGACCTGAGCTGGGGGGACTGTGGCCCTTTCCTGGTGGGGAGCTTCCTTCTCGCCTCCCGACTTCAGTCTCTAGACATCAGCTGTCCTTTCCCAAGCCTCTATGCCTAGAAACACCCTCCCAGCCTCCAAGTCTTCATTGTCCCTTGTCCCCTAGGGAGGCAGTCACCATGACAACCCCTTGCCTGGAGCCCCCATGGCTGAAGGCGATCGATGCCACCCCCCAGACACACACCCTCTTCACACCCTGATTTCTCTGTCTTTCGTCTTCCAAACAGGTTTCTTCTATGTACCTCACCCCCAAAATGGCTCCACCATCCCCCAGAACTGGCTCCACTATCCCCCCAACTCTACCACCCCGTCAAAATGAGAGGCTCCAATGTCCCTCCAGTAGAAGCCAACACCGCCCAAGCTAGATTGGACATACCCCCACTGGCTTCCATATCCACCCCCAAACCGGATCCAGTACCCCAAACCAACATCCTCAGACCTGGCTGCAACATTTTCCCAAAACTCGCCCCGACGTCTTTCCCCTTCCTGGCTCCAACACCTCCCTCTGCAAACGGGCTCCCACATCCTGCCCCCTCCAGCCCCCTGTCTGCCTCCTGGTGCCAGGCCCCTGACTCACTTCCGAGGCATCCCCAAGCCCCCAGCCCCCGGCTCCCGCAGGATGTCTCGGCCACCAGAGCTTCCCTCTGTGGGCTCCTCCTCCTTTTCCTCGCTCCAGCCTTTCCCCAAAGACCCAAACCTCCGCAGACCGCCCGACCTGTTTGCAGAAGTGCTCGCCTGGCCTCCGGTCCCCAGGGCCTGCGCCAGAGTAATTACCTACAAGTTATGCGTCCAAGTCTGACCCTGACCAACACAGTCCCGGACCAGCCTGGCCTGCTCCAAGTTCATCCACATCTTCACTCCCAACCCGTCCCCATCACCTCCTGCTCCATCTCCATCCCAACCCTTGCCCCTGTCCCATCTCCAAGACCCCACCTCTTGAAGACAGAGTGAAACGCCCATCCCTCCCTGGCTTCGGTCTTCCATCTGAACCAGGAGGACGTCGGACCCAACCACATCTCACCTCTTCTGCCTGAGTGGCTCCAAGCTCTCCACTGCCTCGCAGCCTCTCTGGATCCCCAGTCTCCCCTGCACCCTCCTCCTGCTGCCATCTCTCCCTGACCTCTCCCTGGTACCCTGCCCAGGTCAGCCCCCAGATTCTCTCCTTGCCCTCAGCTTCTCCTGGCTTCAGGACACATCCTTTCTCGAACCTTGGTCCAGCCCAACTCTGGGCTGTGCCTTGTTCCTGGAGGGCCGTGAATCCTGCCCTTTCCCCAGCGCCCCAGCGCCTCACCTCTGTCCTCGGTGCCTTGTTCCTCTGTCCCTGCTGCTGTCCTGTCCTGAGGCTACTTCTGCCAGGACTGCTAAGAGCTTGGATCTGAGGAGGGGGGGTGAGAGGAGGTCAATTTCCTGTCAGGAAACCCCTCCCTCTTTGGGGCCACCCTCCCTCTCTGGGGCCAGGGGTAGGAAGAACTCGTTATCTGTCTGTCCTATTAGGCCAGGCTGTGGTTAGGCCCACTTCAGCCGGAATTAGCACCCCCACCCAGCCTGCTCTTCACGCCTCCCAAGGTGACAACACCATCCTGGGCGCCTGGGGAGACACCCCCTGCTGGACGCTGGCCCTAAGCTCTGTCTTGGTTCTCTGCTAGGAGGGGAGGACAAGGAGGAAAGTTCTGCGGGGCCCAGATGCCAGGATTGGCGGCCTAAATGTTGGCACTGGGCATGGCTTTAGGAATGGGGCTGTTTTCCTAAAAGCCTCTGTTCTCAGGTCTCTGCACGGCCCCCTGCAGCCAAAGCATTTCTGCTCTCCTGCACTCTCCCCCGCCCCCCATCAGGGCCAGGGCTCTGATTGGTCCGTTCCTCCATCGATCGCACCTTCCACAGTCAGAACCAATCAAACTCCTCTGTCTCCCCTGTAGATTCTCTGACTCCCACTCGAATGTAAATTCGAAGCAGAAGGTTCAGGTGTTCATCTTCATGTCCCTAGACGTGTGCCTGGCACAGAGTAGGTGCTCAGTAAAGATTTATTAACCGAATGCACAAGTGGGGGTAGGTCAGAGCGGAAGTTGAGGATGGAGGTGGCGGGTGCAGTTGGGGTTGGGAATGAGTTGGGTGTTGGGTGAGGTTAGATGCAGGATAGGTTACTTTTAAGGCTGAGTTTTAGGCTTAGGAGGCTTTTCAGGGGCTCAGGCGCAGTGTCCCAGGTGTTGGGCTAGGATGAGTGATCACTTGCCTGGTTAAAGTTGGGGTTGGGGTCAGCATTACAGTCAGGGGCTGGGCTCAGGGCTCACGGCTCCCCTTCCAGCCCCAGCCGCGAGGATCCCATAGACAAGTAGGCTAGGAGAAGCAGGCCAGGGGTTAAGATTTCAAAGTCTGAAGGCCTCTGTCCAAGGATTGGGTTTGTCAGACAATGGACACTGCGGTAGGAGCTGTTTGGGTGGTCAAGAGGGAAGAGTTTTGTTTTGTCCTCCCCAGGTCAGTGTGGACCTGTGGTGATCAGAGGTGGCCCAGGCTGGGACGAAGTGGCCTGTTAGAGGCTGCGATCACTGTCAGATTTTCCTCTCACTTTTTTAAATTTAATCTTTATTAAGATGTAATTTGCAGGCCATAAAATTCAACTTTTTAAAGTGTACAGTTCAGTGTGTTTCAATATAGTCACAATGTTGTGGCAACCACCACCACAATCTAATTACAGAATATTTTCATTACCCCAAAAAGAAACCCTAGTGCCCTGGTTTGTGCACCTGCTCGGCTGTCATCCCATGCACAGAAAGGTCGCAGGTTCGATTCCCGGTCAGGGCACATGCCGGGTTGCAGTCTTGATCCCTGTTAGGGGCATGTGGGAGGCAGCTGATTGATGTTGCCCTCTCACATCAATGTTTCTTTCTGTCTTCGAAAATCAATAAAAACTAAAAAAAGAAATCCTTATAGCCCATTAGCCTCCCCTCTCCTCCCAGCCCCGTGGATTAACCCCTCTGGCCATCCCACATAAATGAAATCATACAATAGGTGGTCATTTTGTGTGTTGTGCTTCTTTCTTTAAGCACACTGTTTCCATCCATAGTGTAGCCTCATCTTTAAGCCTCAGTCTCCTCATCTGGGAAATGGAGTGGGAACAGTAGTAGGATCAAGAGCCAGGGTGGGACCTTACCTGTCTAGGAAGGTGATCTTCTGCCCTCGTGTGGTGCATGGAAGAACTGCAGCTCTCTGTGTCAGGTTTGGGAAGGGATTCAGGGTGACTCAGCTCCCCCAACTCATCCCGAAGACTCCACACCTCACCCAGCAAAGCCCTGGTGATCTCAAAGCTTCTAAACCATCTTGAACTCTTCTTTCTCTGCCTCCCATCATCCCTGAGACTCTCGGGCCCCATTTGCTGAATAATAATAGTAATGTTGCCCACTTATGAAGTTCTAATAGGTTCCCATGTGCAGCACTTTACCTATATAGTCTCATTAATGTATTGCAGATTGAGGTTACTATTATTATTGTTGTTCGAGGACAGGTACCCACAATGATTAAGAGACCAAGTTCTGGAGTTTGGAGGCCCTTGGGTTCAAATCCCAGCCCTGCGGTTGACCAGCTGTGTAATGAGCATCTGATTTTTCTCCTTAGGGTCTCTGTTTTCTCATCTGTAAATGGGATTCATAATGATTGTTCAACCTCATGGGGTGCAGAAAGGATAAAGCCCTCAGCCTGGCACAGAGGGAGCCTCTCTGTAGCTGATAGTATCCACCAGGGATGTGCTGGTAAATGCTTAACACCCAGATCTCTAGGGGGTGGTGGTGGGGAGCCTCAATTTGTAGCCTTTACCAATTTCCATGGTGTAAATGTTCTCACCATGGCTAATTTCAAGGTGACATAACTGAAAGTGTTTATTTGTAGGGAGGATGCTCAGTAGCCCTTTCACTATGCAGATATGATAGATGTAAATGACCTCAGGATCACAGATAAAAGTAAAATAATTGGGATGTGGTGAGTTTATTACCTTTATTTTAAATATTATTTATTTATTTTTATATTTTATTCCTCACCCGAGGATACTTTTCCATTTATTATCAGATAGAGTGGGAGGGAAGGAGAGAGAGACAGAGAGAAACATCAATGTGATAGAGCCACATTGACTGGTTGCCTCATTGGTCCAAGGCCCGACACTCTAACTGCTGAGCCAAACTGGCCAGGGCAATATAATTTATTTAATTGTATGTTTGCATAATTTAATTTTTAATAATGACTGTTCAACGATCAATTCCAAAATTCCTGAGACTTTCACAATCAGCTCACGCAAGCCAGCTCCATCATACTGCTATCATCGCACCCGTTCTTTAGAAAGGGAAAGTGAGGCTCAGGAAGGTCAGACAGGCCCGTCTGGTGTGGCTCAGAGGTTGAGCGATGATCCATGCACCAGGAGGGCGCCAGTTGATCCTGATCAGGGCACATGCCCAGGTTGTGGGCCTGATCCCCAGTGTGGGGCATGCAGGAGGTAGCCAATCGATGTTCTCACTCTCATCAATGTTTCTATCTCTCTCTCTCCCTCTCCCTTCCTCTCTCTCTAAAATCAATCAAAAAAATGTTTAAGAAAAAAAAAAGTCAGACAGGGGCAGGGCATGGACCCCAGCCAAGGGCTGTGTGATTCTGGGGCCAGGACTATGCAACACCCCTCTTTCGTTCCTCCCATGCTGGTCTCGGGGTCATGGGTGGTCCTCACACACTATGTGACCTCAGCGAAGCCCTTGCCCTCTGTGGTCTCACCCATCCCCAGGTGTCTGAGTCTGCAGGTTCCCTTGCACCTGCTTCGGCCCTGCCAGGAAGGTAACATGTGGACCCTCCCCCTGTCTTTATAGACTGGGAACAGAGGCCCAAACAGGCAAATACTTGCCCTGAGTGACACAGATGGGCAGATAGAGTCCTCAGACCCTGGCTGGGGTGCAGAGTGGAGACTGCTGCCCACAGCCTTGTGGTCTGGAGTTTTCTGGGAGGTCACTCCTCTGCAGTGGCTCCGCCCAGAACACCATCCGTCCAGCACCTTAACCCTGTGTCCCCAAGAGCTTCCTGGGCCCCGTGACTAGGGAGGGAGTGAACAGTGCCATCTGCCTGGTTCTTGCCTGGGGGGGAGGGGGGGCTTCTCTGCCTCTTCTCTTTATCTCCATTCTCTCCACCGGTCTTTGCGATAGTGTGTGTTCCTCTTTGTCCCTTTCTGTCTCTCCCTCTGTCTCCATGCGTGGGTCTTGCCGTCTTTGTCTCTCTGTGTCTCTGTTCTCTCTTTGTACCTCAGTCTCTTTGTGTGTGTGTGTGTGTGTGCGCGCGCGCGTGTATATGTGTGTGTGTTGTGTGCGCCTCTTTCCCTCCGTCTTCCCCTCTTTCTTCCTCTTTTCGTGTCTATCTCTGCGTCTCTCAATGTCTTTCTCTGCGTCGCTGGCGCTCTGCCTTGGCGCTTCTCGCCCCTTCTTTTCCGGTGAGTCTCGCCTCTCCTGTGAGAACATGCTCACCACCAACGCGCTCAGACCTGCCTCCGCCCCCGGAGCCCCCGGCCCGCCCCGACCTGCGCCTTTAAGGCCCGGCGGTAGGGGGCGGGGTCTCGGCGGCCACGCCCTGCCCGCCCCTCCCCCTGACGTCCCTTCCTCCCCGGCCCCTCCGCCGCCTCCCTCCGCCGCCGCCCGGGCCGGCTCCGCGCCCCCTCCCCGGCCCCCGCCCGCCTGCCCGCTGCCCGCTGCCCCTATGGCGCCCTGGGTCCCCACTGCGGGGGGCCACTAGGACCCTCGGTGTCCTCTTCCCTCCCCCTAGCTGCCCCCTCTTCCGCGGCGTGAACCCGGGTGTTCACGGCACCCAGCTTTTGAGCTCGCGTCCTCAGACCGGCGGGGGGGGAGGGGAAGAGGGGACCCCGGCACCCCTGCCCCCCCCCACCCGGCCGCTCAGTCCCCCGGGACCCGGAGAAAATGTCTTCGCGGACGGCGCTGGCCCCGGGCAACGATCGGAACTCGGACACGGTGAGTAGGGCCCGGCCCCTGGGGCGCCCCGGGCGGTTCTGGCCGCCGAACCCCTCGCCCTGCTGTGCGCCCCGCGCGCGACCCTTACCCTCTCTCCCGGCCCTGCCGGGCTCGCCACCTCCCGACCCTCGCCCGCACTTCAGGACTTTCCACCTCCCCCACTCCAGCCCAGCCCGACCTCGGGGGGCGCCCCTCTCTCGGGACCCCTCTCTCGTCCCTCTGCAGACCGCTTCCGCTTGGGTCTCTTCCCTCCAGGAAGCCCCCTCCCCTGCCTTCCAGGAGCCCCTCCCTTCTCCGGTGTGTTCATAAGCCCCTTCCCCTTCAGGCCGCCCTCCTCCGACCATTGGCCCCCACCCGGATTTGCAGGACTCCTGACCCCAAGGCCCAGCCCTGGTCCTCGCAGGAAGGCCTGGCCCGGTGCTGCCT